ATGGAATGTTTTATTTTAACGTGATGAATAAAATATTTTAAGACAAGGTGTTCAAATATTTTCCAAATCATTTCTAACATATATATATATATATGGTATCAGATTGATCTAATTTCTGTGCATTAAGGACAAGCAAGTCCTAGGTTACAAACTGAACTCTCCAATGCAAGAACAAGATGCATTTCTTCCTTTAGGAGGTGCTATTGTTTCTTTTCATTCCACGAGAAAAGAAAAAGGTTTCAGTTTTGTTTTTGCATGTGGGCGGGTATTCTGTTTGTAATAACTGTTTGGATACACTATATTTTTAATATGCTAGTTGTGATAATTTCATGCCAAGTAAAAATGTCCATAGTCATATTTTATGTTCCTAAAGTAACAGAATGACTTTCAATCTAGAAAAGACAAAAGAAGTGCTAATGTAGCATTTTTTTCAATTTTTCTGAAAATTTCCATTTTTTCCCAAAAAAACCTGGGGGGAAAAACGGGTTTTTTTCCGAGCTTCAAAATTTCCAAAAATTTTACATCTCTACATGGGGCTGGATCCCACACTCTGCTCACAGTGCAGCCTTCTAACACAGGATAGCTTTGCCACCGGCAGAACAGATTGAGAGGATGTTCTGGTCAAATAGAAATCTTTTAATGTGTGAAGTGGTCCTAAGAGAAAGTGACCAACTTCTTTATCATCTTCTGATGCTTTGTCCTTCACATGCTTCCTCTAATTCCTGAAGGGACCACCTAGGGCTTAAGAGAAAATAGCTGAGGCAGCCCTTCCACCACTTTCCTTGGAACTACTTCAAGACCTGTGCCATGAGGGGGAGGCAAGAGAGACAAGAAGCTCATACCAGCCATTCCTGAGAAGACAACTAATGGACGGAGGCAATTTTATACTTCCTCTTGTTTTGTCTTCCTGAATTTTAAAACTGGCTGTCTCAAAAGAATATTAGCGTTATCAATAAGTTAAAATTTATAACCTGCCTTTCTCACAGACTCAAGGCAGATTACAATAAATGTATGAAGTAACAAATAATAATGGCCCTATGCATGAAAGTGAAACATCTGCAGAACTACAGCATAGCTCCTAAACTACCATTCCCCCCCACACCCAAATTCCCTACCACTCAAATTAATTTCTATTGCAAGTGATTAAAAAACACACAGACTGGCATGATTCTGGTAAACAGATTCAATCATTTATTTCAGGAAATCCAGTGTTATAACTGTAGCAGCATTTGAGAAACTCACCTTTCAGCCCTACCAAACATTCTTTTTAAGAAGCTGACATTGGTAAATTCATTAAAAGGCAATTTTAAAAACAGCAAACGTTAAAAAAAAAAATCCTCATCCAAAAAATAATGTGCGGTTTCAGCAGGCAAAGCAGCAATGAGTGTGCTTCTATGTGTTATGTTTTTAAACCTCTTTCAAATACATTTTAAGTGGTATATTTTTGTGTCTTGCTGGAGAATTCCCAGCCAAGATAAGTTGCACCCTGACATGACTTTATAATGTGCTTCAAACTGAAGATCCAGCAATTAAAACATTAATGCATATCTATTAGAAATAAACAGGAGTGCCACACATTCAGAGTTAAAATGTGATAATCCAGAATTCTGGACCACCAGAGTTGGGCTACTAGAATTCCTCTCCAGAGGCTTCCTTTAGGAAATACTAAGAAGTCACTAAGGTCATTCTAGTTGATGAAGTATCCCAAGATCTATATTACAGGAAAAGCAAACAGCACTTTCAAATGGGAATGAGTATTTTGGGAAATTAAGTGCCTGTATAAGTGCAGAGCCCTGATTTGGATTAGGGCCGTGGTATGAAGGGAGGACTTTAAGCCCCGCCACACACACCGTTTTCCCCACCTGAAACTATCTGTCCTGTTGGGGAAACTTATGCACACTGATGGAAGATTGCCCCCAAAAAGGGCAAACAGAAGCTCCCCAGGGCTTTTTCAGGTCACGCAAACGGCACAGGAGGGGAGGCCTAAGCCCCCTCCCCACATTCCTAATCATAATCAATGCCAGCAAATTTCATTTCGGCACACAACTTCCAGGTCACATCTGGTCTTAACAGGACTCAGGGCAGACCCAGAAGCAGTGTAATGTGTAGTTTCCATTAATCTTCCATCCAGGAACTGCAGCTCCCCACTCTGGACCACAGCAGCTGATCCATTCTCAAATGCAGATCTGACCCAGGCACATGTAAAACAGCCAGTGGGGTGCAATCTAAATACAAAAGTTGCACCTCCCCACTCCAACCTGGCAAACTGCTATAGAAACTGGTAAGACTTTGAAAATCAGGTTGTGATATAGCTCAAAGACCAGCTGTTCAAAGACAGGGAAAAAGTCTGCTGGGTATGTTCAAGCTCTCAGGCTTTCAAAAAACAAATCCCTACATATGGAAGACTCGCATGCTGAGCTGATGCTCCCTAGTCTGCAAGGCTTTTTTCTTTTAAATGTTCAAGGACTTTGCTATGTTTCCTGATGGACAGTTTACAAAAACTGACTCAAATTCAATCCTCAAAAGCAAGATATATTCTTGCCCAGTCCATGAGAACATCTTTTGTTTCTACCTAGAACCTCTGAAAAGCTACAATACTATGATCAGTATTACAGATACTGGCTCTAAAGAGACTGGGAATTTAATGTCTATTTTCAACTGAATAAAGACCAGGCTGCAGACCCCAATACATAGCCATTCAGATTTAAATAGTAGTGTCACAGTCATTTCATTTGCCCAACCAAAGATAGGACACTTTGGTAGCCTTGTTTATAACCTCACATAGCAGCATTTGCTGCCTTGACAATCCAGTCATTCAAGGATAAGGGAATCTGCAGATGCTGGCTGGTTTTGCTTATAAGCCTGTATCCTGCATTTACAGTCTGGTGCTCAATGTCGAGGGCACCATTTCAGAAACTAAATACAATGCACAGGAACCTCAACGGCTGGATTCAAGCAGTACCTGGCTTGAATAAAACCATCAGTCGCATGGAAGTCATTCACTTAAAAAAAAAACACAACCTTGTTTTTACTGCAAGATTGGCAACAATAATCTTTCCGTTTCACATCTATCTACTGAGAAAAACAGGACAAGAGAGATGATAAAGTTGTTTAGAAATTCAAGTGATGTCTTGCCAATGCAAATCACACCTCCTCTTCTTTTTGCTGTTGTAAGACTCTGCTAAGAAAGAGACCCTTTCTTTGCAAGCATGTGCACACACACACACACTCTCACACACACACACAGGAAAACAATTCTATCAATTGTACACAATCTGAAAATAAAATAAAGATACAAGCATCGGGGGGAAAATACCTGGTGTACTTTCTGAACAATTTAGCAATGGTGAACAGTTTTTAGGTATAATAGCAACTGCCTCTTAGACAATAGTATACGACATACTACAGTTTCAGATTAGAACTCCCATCAACATGGAAGCTGAAGCATGAATCCAATTCATTTTATAGCCTCATTGGCATCAGGGTGACTCCAGAGATTTTGGATCATGAGTCGCTTCAAGGCAGAATTAAGAGTTCTACTCAACCAGTCTTCTCCCTGGCATAGGACTTCTCTGTAAAGCCCATATGTGCTAGGGTCACTCACACCATGTTATTACACCATGGATGTTTTCATAAACAGCAATCAAGGATGTAGAACCAGGAATTAGACGACATTTGTGCCATGATGTCATAACACGGGGAAAGTGAACCTATGTATTTGTGCATGTTGATTTGATGAACCCTTCCCCTGGACACCACACAAAGCATAAAGTTTCACAGCAGCAAAAAACAAAGCTATCACACAAGACCTAAAACCCCTTCTGCACACCTTCATTTGTACAGTTCAGATGGCTGACAGCAGATATTGCTGACTTTTGGCTTGGAATAGATTTTGACTTTCTTTTCCCGTTTTAAGGCTTCGGTTTTCCAAGGCCTGATTGCCGCACTGCACTGCAGCTAACAGCTGTCTCCCCTGGTCAGTCCTTTATTTTTTCAAAAACAAACCTATAAGCAACTCAACTTGAGCATTCTTCAGAAATGTAAACTGATGCCCCGCTCCTGCAAAACACTTGGCAGTCAGTGTTAATTTATACACACTAGTGCAAGAGACTTCCTTGTGCATGACAGTTAGGTTATGTGCAAAGCAAGGCTGGGGACTTTGTGAGAAGGAATAAATTAAAAGTCACAAAACCTGCTCAGAATTGGAGGTTTTTTAATGTACCTTTAAGTGTTTTCCTAAAATATGCTTAGAAGTAGTTCTCTGCTCTGTTATGCAAACCACTGGAAGAGATTTCCCAAAGCAGCCACTGATCTTGACGTAGTTGTAGGGATAAGATTCTCATCTCAGACAGGTTCTTGGGACTCCAGAGTCTTGCTGGCATCAAGATCTTTTAAAGCTGGGTGTTCAGAGCATGCATCTAAGCACTTTGTGGGATGGAGGACTTCATTGCCACTACAATATAGAGCTAAAACATCTTCTGGTTCAGGAAAACCAGGAAATGGCGCTCCTGGTTACTGCAAAACAATTAAGTACTTCCAAAAAAAACCCCACCACTCTGTCATCAGCTGCCACACTTTTCAAGCCACCCAACTAACTACATAGAAAAATAAAGGATAAATATTATCCATCTATTTATATTACACGATTTCGCTATATAAACTTTGTTCAATTAAAGGCTTTATCTTTGTGTGTGTTTGGTTTTTTTTAAAAAAAGCAATCCCCCAGAAATCTTTCTGGGCAGTCAAAAGCATTCCAGTGAAGAAACAACATACTCTTTTACAACTCTGTATCACAGTTTATCAAACTGAAATAAAATTATAAATACTTGTATTGTTGTTTTTAAAAAACAGACCTTACACAATTTGGTTTAGCCAAAAGGGGGAGGAGAGAAAATGAACTTCAAAATCTAAAATGGAACATGGCGATGAATCTACCAGAAACCTTCCAAATTGACAAACAGTGCCAGGAGAATTTGCACACAAGGTGTCTGTCTTGGCAATTCTGGGGCCGCTGCTACAATGCCAGCTTTATCAACATGGCGTTTTTTTGTTTGCCTCACGTTTTGTAAGAAAGTACTTGAAGAATTCGTACACAGACCAGGAAATGGCAGTTGAAGGCATCTGGTATATCACTCGCGCTTGAACCCCCTTAAAATACCCAGCGACACCCCCCAGCTGGTACACTGTCCTGAATGCGTTGGCCATTCCTGAGAGGTGCCCACTGATGTTCACAGAACTTAAGGCCATGTTTTCCTGAGTGTTGAGGAGAGTCTTGCAGACATCCAGAGGAGTTGTGGCTGCCGCTGCAACAGCCCCAGCAAGAGCTCCCGAGACAATGTGCGTTTGAGGGTTGTACTGTCGCTGAGGGTTGATCTGCTCCTGCATGAATTCATAGGTGATGAAGTGGATGGCCTGGAACGGGATGTTCATGGTGAGCTGGGTGGTATAGCTACGGTAAAAGGCCCCCAGCCCCTCAGTCCTTCTCAGTGTCCTGACACACTGCAAGACTGTCTTGTACGGAGAATGGTACATCTGCATCCGCTGCTTCACCACTGGTCAAAGTGGCAGGCAGCCACAAAAGAAGAAATCAGGCAGGTCCCAAGCCAGGATGGCAGGAAAAGTAAGAAACATAAGAGGAGCCAAGTTAGTTTCAAGTCACAAGCTGCATTCGGACGTCAGAACAGCCCCATCAATTCACTGCTGGCATGAACACAGCTTGCTTGTGGAGTTCGCATGCTCCCTCCATCCCACCTCTTGGGTGCGATCAACTGCATCCTGGTCTGGGAAGACTCACATCAAAACCCCACAGTATCATGGCATGCTAGGGAGGAAACAGACTCTGGTTTGCCTGAACATGTGCATCTGGGTTTACACCTTCTGAAACCAGAACGCTGTCTATCCTGCTCCACACAAGGGAGGGAGTGTGCGAGCACAGCAAACAAGCTGTGTTCATGCCCAGTGCTACCTTCGCACCAGCGGTGAGAGGCAAACGTTGAGACTGACTGCAACAGGAAAAGGAGAATCGGGGAAATTTGGCGGCGGAAAGTGCAGTCTGACTTAGGTGGCCCAGTAAGGCAATGTGTGCCTTACTGGGACTTAGGTGACCCAGTAAGGCAAACAGAAGTGGTTTGCCACTGCCTGCCTCTGCACAGCAACCCTGGAATTTCTTGGTGGTCTCCCATTCAAGTACTCACTGAGGCTGACTCCGCTTAGCTTGGGATAGGGCTAGCCTGGCCCATCCAGGTATCTGTTCACTCGGAAATAAGTATTATTCATCCCAGGCATATGCAAAATGTGCTAAGGGCTGGGATGCACTGAAGCCTATGCCTGCTCGGTCTAACTGATGCCCTTTCTAAAAGCAATTTGGGAGCTTGCAAAGCCAGGAAGACTCAGGTACCCATTGCTGTCTAAGCCCAAGTGCCCTTCTTTCCTCACTCCCTCAATTCTTGCAATGCAGGATATTACCAGTCTAACTAAGAGCCAGTTTGGTGTAGTGGTTAAGTGTGCAAACTCTAATCTGGGAGAACCGGGTTTGATTCCCCACTCCTCCACTTGCACCTGCTGACGTGACCTTGGGTCAGTCACAAGCTCTGGCACAGCTGTCCTTGAAAAAGAGCAGTTTGTGTCACTCAGCCCCACCCACCTCACAGGGTGTCTGTTGTGGGGAGGGGAGGGAAAGGAGTTTGTAAGCCGCTCTGAGACTCCGAGTGAAGGGCGGGGTATAAATCCAATCTCTTCTTATTATTTCTAGGTTCTGTTATAATTAGGTTTGTTGGGAGATAATATAGCTGAACACTTGAAGTGCTACCAGTATGCTTCTTAAAGAGCTCCAGATAGTTCTGCTCCCCTTTGCCTCTGTTCAACCCCACGGGACTAGCCGTCCCCTACGGTGTTACCTTCAGCTGGATTCATAACAGCGTCATGTAGGAGGGTGGCCATGCTTCCCGCTACTCCTGAAAGACAGACAAAAAGTCCCCTTTCACAATGAACTCCTTGACCAATCAATCCTTCGGCAGACTTCTGAGTGTAAAATTCTGAACGTAAAATCTGCTTGTGCAACCCATTGCATAGTAAGAGGGAAAAGCACCGTTCTTTATAAAAACTCAAGCTCCAAATACGAGACGGTTCACCCCATGGTCTCTGGTTTAGTCTCCTGTTATCTCCAGTTACAGCTCTACAGGGCTGGGGAAGTCCTTCAAGAGCTGCTATGAGGACAAACAAAACTGGACTACCAAAGACCAGTGATCTACTCAGGATGAAGCGGCTTGATATGTTTCTACATACCTACAAATGCATAATCTCACTCATTATGAGACAGCAAACCTGGGCCTTCCACTAAGAGTGTACTCAAAACAGGAAGCTGCAGGCATCCCTGGCTTTTTAATGAGCATTCATAAGTTACATCTTTATGAGTACAATGAAAACAAATATGTGACTCACAGCCAGGTCAGTTATTAGAAAACTCATTTCACACCCAGTGGAGTTTTGTAACACAAAGTAGTCCCCTCCAATAAGTATTACCTTGTGATACCACAAGTTTATTTAGAGGCCAAACCACCACCAAATGCCTTTTTCATCCAATACCACCCTCAGAAATAAAATATTAAATGGAAAACTAAGAAGAATGACTTCAGTGTTTTGTTCCTAGAAATGCTATCCCATCCAAACTTGGTGCATCAATTGGAAAGAGAGGGAGAACAATTCTATTCCATGCTAAAAGGAATGCTAGATAAAACTGTCATTCTTAGGGTTCAAAAGAAATGAAATTACAGGAGACCCATAAATGTTAATATCAGCCACAGGTGAAAAGAAGAGTTTACTCCCCTCTCCCTGGGTACCAGGTCACTGATCATAACTAACCAATCCCTCATGCTAAAATTAGCTCTAAAAAGAGATAGGATCTCCCAGTCTTCTCTGGTTTTGGCCTTAAATAAATGTGCAACTATCCTCCAAGGAGATGCATCATTAAATGTCTAATTAAGCAGAATTCTGCAAGGGCAGTCACATCCTGTCCCATAGAAACTAAACTAATCCAACCAACAGCTGCAAAAAAATCCCCCAATCCCCTGTAATCCCACCCTTTCTCCAAGGAGCTCAGGCTTCCCCCTCCCCCACTGTATGCCCACTATAACTCCGGAGGGAGGGGAGGTTGGGAGATACTGGCCCAAGGTCTCCCAAGCAAGCCTCAGGGCTGACTGAAGATTTCAATCCATGTCTCCCCAGTCCTAATGCAACACTCCAACCACTATATCAGTGGTGGCAAACCTATGGCACAGGTGCCAGAGGTGGCACTCAGAGCCCTCTCTGTGGGCAGGCGTGCCATCGCCCCAGCCAGGCCCAGACCATCATTAAAGTGTCGAATTCTCTGCCAAATAATTTTAAGTAAATGAAAGCATTTGGGACTGCTTTCCTTACTTTGCTTGGATCATCTTAAGTTAATGTATGAGTGGTTTTTTCTAAAGTAAAACCTCAGTATTCAGGTTAAATTGCCGAGTTGGCACTTTGCAATAAATAAGTGGGTTTTGGGCACTCGGTCTCTAAAAGGTTCACCATCACTGCACTATATCATATTGGGTCTCTACTGAAACGGGACGACTACCTGCATGCACAAAAGCCCTTGGGAACAGATCATATGATGTATTCGCAACCAAAATCAGGAGGTACAGGTTGTTCAAATGGGATGTACTCACCTTGGGCTGCGCACATGCACCATCATGTGGTGAAAGGTAAGAATTCCTTAGACCCGGTTCACATATGAAGGAGACCGAAGTAATGGAATGGACTGTAGTAGCGCAGGCCACAGGTGATGGGTTTCATCTTTAAATGTCCGTTTTATACAAAATAAAAACTCCATGCAGATAGAAAACTAGCACATCAGGGACAAGGATTCTCTCCCTTATCTTTGCTTGCCAAGCTGGATTTCTATTTGCATGGAGTTTTTATCAAAGAACATTCCAAAATATGATCCTCCATCTGCAGCCTGGAATTGTCCACTCCATTCTACCACTTTCTTGCATGTGTGAACCTGGACTTACTCGCCAGCCACACACACCGCAGGAGGGTTCCACCTCAACTGTGTAGTAGTAGCTTGGCATGCAAATAGTCCCCAGTTCAATCACCAGGATCTCCAGTTGAAATGGATCTTTACACTGGATCCAACTCAATGAACTAAGGCATGGATTAACTGTTGGGGTTTTCTTAAAGCCAAAGCTATACAAATACTTTACTCAAAAGTTGTATAAATCTGAAGTCAGGTGTTGCAATAATATGAACATATACTGTGGTACTGGTATTACATTCCACACAGTGCATGTCACTCACACACAGAATAAAGCACAAAACAAACTGCTAGATGGAGACCACCTTCACAGTGTGACATCATGCAACAGCTTCACCTGAACCTGCTTCCAACATTCTTGCTTCAGACATCTGTTTACACACAGCCATGCTTTGCAGGTGAGTTCAACAGGCATGAATGAAGCTGGTACTGTGCTTGCATAGCTCCCCCTCTCTCATCTACCCCCCACCTCTCACTCAGTGTGCAATTAAAATCTTCAGGTTTGAGAAACCTGAATTCAAAAACCAATTTGGCACAACAGCCAAATTGGAACTCATTCCACCCACCCTACTCTCTATAGAGTGAAAGAGATTTGGCACCAAAGTAGATGAGATAGAGACCCCACTTTGGCCTGGGGACACGCTGAAATGGGAAGTCCTTGTAACAGCACTGCAGGGGCTCAGTTCTGGTTGGGACCACTGCAGTGTGGGTGATGGAGGAGCTCTTGCCTTCCCGTGCTGTTTTTTTCTGACCTAAATGGTGCAGGGGGAGGACTGTTGACTGCAAATAAAGCCCCATCCAATGCTATTTCAGGTCAGAAAAATGACACAGGGGGGTGGCAGGAGACCCCCCCCAATGCTGCAGTGGTCCCAACCAGAATAAGTTCCCCTCACAACACTGTTAAAAGGAGTTTCCTAGTGGGAACACTACAAAATGGCAGCACATCCTCTGGGGCAAATTTGGGGACACCAAACTTGGGGACTAGACATCATCTAGTTTGGCCTTTAGGAAACTCCCGTTGACTCAGAGCTCTGAGAGAAGCCTCTGTCATAATGCCTTAGATACAACCTCCTTGTAGTTAACTGCTTGGTTGATTTACCAGTTAGACCTAAGAGGTGCATAGGCAGCAGCATGTCGTGCACAGACTGGTTTACCATTCAGAATGCAGCAGACCCAAGAAAACTTTCATCCCATGACAAGTTCTGGGCACATCTAGCTGTGATGCAGGGGTGGTAAGAAGCCTCCAGCATACAGAGAATACAGCCTGCATATGGTTTCTGTCTTGGCTGGAACCAGCACAAGCTGGCATCATCTTCTGGCTGCCACAGATCCAGATGATAGGGTACCACTCACATAACATGCTCTGTGTATTTGTTATATACCTTTCTGCACATTAAACAATACCATATATATATATAAATATAAATATAAATATATATATATGCACAACCATACACAAAGACAGAACAATATTTCAATTACATTTATTTATTACAAACTGTTCAGTACAAAATTCCTGAATTGCAAGGTGGAGACTGGAGAACGTATTCAAATAGTGGTTGCAGAGGTTTACCAGCAGAGGTTAATACCAGCATGGATCCCAAACATAACCTCCATGTACAGAAATTATATACCTCTTAATGCCAGGTGATAGACATAAGGAAAGGCTTGTAAGGTTCCACAAGCATCTGACTGCCTCAAGCTGCAAACAAACTACTGGGTTAGATAATTTTTTGTCTTGAGTTTAGAAGACTGGTCTGATATTCTTAATGCCAAAACAGCCAAACTTGATAAAATTTAGAAATAATCTCAGGTAACAGATTTCAAAAAAGGCTAGACCTAAGAACCATTTTCCTGGAGATCTCATTGCGCTAGGCTTGTTTGACTGGAATGCTCTCATTGAAGTATCTACGTCCCAATAATCCCAACTCAAAAGGTACTTATGGTCAAATGCTTTCCAATATCTAACTTTTCGGAGGATCTTTAACACTACGTATCTTCCGCATTCTTCAGACACGAGCATCTAAACACTGCAGGCGCCTGTGGGAAAGAGAAGCCTAGGCTGCCAAGGATAGTCTTTTCCCAGAGTCTTTTTCTTTAGAAGCCAGAAACGCAGACTGAAGATGTCAGACCGTAAGAAAAGTACGCAGTGAGCAAAGGGTGGGGATTACACCCTGGGTGCTGTCAATATACCATTGGCCAGGTGGCTGTTCCCTCCATCATGAATAATGTCACTTAAAGTCTTTTTCAGTTTTTCGTAGCAGGCAAAGTACAGTGCGTGGGCTGGGCCCGCTCCCACCATGGTGACATTGATCCCTCGTAATGGCCGCCAGAAGCCTTCAGTGTGGATAATCTTCTTCAAGGCTTCAAAGACACTGTTGTACTGGGCTTTGGGGTCAGGCTGCAAACTCTGCATCCTTGTCTGTAACAAAGAGAAGAAGAATGTATAAGGATAAGTGTGTTCATTAATCACTCCAGCCTTATATTCAAGCCCGATTGGTGGGGTGGGAGGAACGGCACAAGTTCTTGTGATTGAACCTGGGACATCCTGCAAACAGAGCCCATGTTCTGTCACTAACCTATGAACTATCCTCAATATGCAGAGCAAGCGTGATATGGTGTTTAAGTGTGCTGGACTAGTACATGGGTGGTTCAAACTATCATTTAGCCACAAAGCTCACTTGATGAGCTTGGGTCCATTATGTTTCTCAGCCCTACCAACTAAACCAGACTGTTGTGAGGACAAAACGGAGAAGAAAACAATGTATGCCCCAGCTCCCTGGAGGAGGAACAGGATACAAAAAGAGAGAGATTGCACAAGTTTAAAGCTTATACAGAGTGTGCAAATTTTAAAAAATGATAAAAATAGAGAGACTGCATGAATATAAAGCCTTATACAAAGTACACAAATCTACCATTATGCCCATTTTACAGACTGTAAGCTGGTTTGCCCAAGGTCATACAAGCAGTCTGGGTCTGAAGGACCTGAAACTCGACACCATAAAACTCCAACTCCTTATGCATAAACTACATTACCTCTCAAGAACTCAGATCATTTTAACCTGAAACTAGATTGGCAGGTAGTAGTCCAGCTATGTCCTTCATTGAGCCCCCTTTCGCTTAGGGTAGAGTCCCCATGCACTTCAAGCGCATGTCAGCAGAGGGCACTACAAGTCAGTCAAACGACAGGTATACGCTCTTGCACCAAAATCCACCAAAGAGTGGTTTCCGGACTCAAGGTCAATGAAGGTTACAGGACAAGGCTCAGTCACGTTAAGACTCCACAGACCTCAACACTGCTCAACCCAACAGAAGCTGCAGAGAAAAGTGGTGACTGCTCTGCATACACAAGGAGACACATCATAAGCATATGTAGGACTGTACTAAGAGGGACACAGCAACAACATTCAGTCCTAAAGACTCATCTTTAACCTCATCCCGCAACAGGAGACCTTCATTTTCATGGGGAAAAATCCCCATCCTTGAACCCATTTTTCTTAAGGAAAATCATCTGAAGATCTAAATCAAAACGGAAGAGAGCACATAATAGAGGTAAACAACAAACAAAATATCAACAAGTCGCTGTGTCTCAACGGCACATGCTCAAGAGTTCCAAAACAGGACACACTTAAATTATTTAACAAAAAAAAAACACCATACATCACAAGCCATCGATGAAAGCAGAATGTACTCCCACAAGCAGCAGAGCCTTCTCCTTTGCAGGCCCAGAGTTGTCAAATGCTCTCTCAAGGAAGGCTCACTTAGCTCCATCCCAGTTATCCTTTCCAAATCCTGACTTAAACTCCTTTTTTTTTTCCAGTGTGCCTTTAAAGAGTAAGAGTCTTATTTCAATGTGTTTCTGCTGTTAAAACTGATAGTTTCATGTGTGGGCCATTGCTTTGGTTGGCACCTACAGTTTAAAGGATCTCAGGAATGGGAGCAGCTGTTGGGAATAAATTCTCTCTGCCTGAGACCTGTTGCCAATTAGAAGACAACAAGCAGGGGAGCAGTTAAGACTTGTGTAGGGGGGGATCTCATTTTCCGTGCCCCCACCATTTCCTCTTTCCCTTAAAGCCCCCATAGCCTCTCTTATCCTGCTTCCTTCTCTCCTTCTCACCCATCAGCCATCCTACCTTTACACCTGTTTTCAGCTTTCATCCCCCCCCCCCCAGCAATTTCTCCACAGGAAAACTCCGGCCCAGTTACATGTTGACAGCTAAGCCAGGCCCAACTGCATAATGGGGAGCCTGCAAGGACTTGGGGGGGGGGGTTACTTCACTTTCCCTATATCCCCCCTCCCACACTATTTCTTCTTTCCATTCTCCTGGCAGCCTCCAGCCCCCGGGATTTCTCAAGCTTGTAGAAAGATCTGTCTTGTCTGTCCATGGGCCCAATCTCTGTATCTAAATATCCACAGATGGGACCACACTGAGATTTAGAGATACTGATGATATTATTGCTAGATGAACAAATGGTCTGACTTTGTACATGTTCATGTGACCTGTAGCCAGAGGAGGAGGAGCCAGATCTGCAGATGACACTACATCATTCTGGATGGCGAACACCACCTTTGCAAACTGGTGTATGGGTAAAGAGAAATGTCACATGAAATTCAAAATATGGAAGTGAAGCACACTGGGGTAACGAAATCCTAGTTTTTCACATACATAAATGTGATCTGGACGGGCTTGCAAGGGAGAACAAGGAACAGCAGTGGAAGCGGAATGGGAGGGAAAAAAGAATCATCTCATTGTGCCATGGCAATGAAAAAAGACAAATCCCATATTTGGGCTTATTAGGAAAAGGACTGAAGTTAGTACTACAATGCCTTCAAATAAATCCACCATCCAGCCACATTGAGAATACTGTGTTGAAACTCTGGGAGGGGGTGCCGCCCCATATGCCCCCATGCTAGCTACAGCCCTTCTGTGTCCAGGTTTTGAAGTACCTCCCAATGAGGAAAAGCTAGAGAGATAAGGGCTTTTTAATTGAAGAAAAACTAAACTTATTTGCAAAATTACATTACCCTCTCATCATACTGCATCTCAGGCTGTAGACTCAGGACACCCAAGATAAAACACTGTTTCACAACTCGCACAACTAGTTTACAAAGCTCACTGCCACAAGGTATGATGAAAGCCAGCTTGGATAGCTTTTAAAATGGGTTTAGACAATTTCGCAAAGGACAGATCTACCAATTACTCGCAGGCAAGGTTTTTGGAAGCTTCAGTTCCTAGGCGTCATGACTGTAGTGTGGTGTCATCTGTAGGCCTCTTCAGTTACTTAGTTTACACGACCTATTTTATTGGTGGAAATACTTGGCCAGTGAGACTCCATCTGTCTAGTCAGCCGGTGTCAATTAGGGCAGTGGTTCCTAACCTGTGGGCCAGGGGGTTAAGACGCTGAACTGCAGCCTGTGGAAGGTCAGTAGTTCAGCAGTTCAAGACCCAGGTGCCGCATGATGGAGTGAGCTCCCATCTCTACTTCCAGCTCCTGCCAACCTAGCAGTTCGAAAGCGAGAAATTGCAAGTAGATAAATAGGTACCACTTCGGTGGGAAGGTAACAGCGTGCCATGCGCCTTGGTGTTTAGTCATGCCGGCCACATGGCCATGGAAACGTCTTCGGACAGCGCTGCCTCTTCGGCTTTGAAACGGAGATGAGCACCACAACCCTAGAGTCGGACTCGACTGGCTTTCGAGCAAGGGAACCTTTACCTTTTACCAGCATTTTTCAATGTTATAAAGTTAAGCTCAATATCCAAACATGCTGGCAACAGTATCTATTACTACAGAATTTGCTTTTTACCGTACACTTTTCCCCCCACCTCAAATGGCAAAAATTAAGGATCCATGTGCATATGGTACGATAATTCACAACAGTCTCAAAATACTTGGTATGCTTGTAACTTTCCTTATAGAAAATGATGGCATTTATACTTTAAAATTCCATAAATTATGCTAAATAGTACAATATTATATGCTAACAATGTACATGCTAACTAATGATGCATTTTATGATGTTCGACCAGTAAAAGAAGTTTAGGTTTGACAGGAAAGTATTACACAGGTTTCAATTTTTTCCAAAATTTCTGGTTTTTCCCCCTGAGGGGAAAAGAAAAAACAAAAACAAATGGGTAACACCCCCCCCCCCATGGTTTCAAAATTTCCAGAAATTTTACATCTCTACTTCCATCATAGAAGAATGCTTGGCTTGGAAACCCCAAATATTTTTGGAACCTCCCTCTATCTTGTGATTAGACCCAACTCCCATGGTAGGCAGTCATTTAGTGACTGGTCACCCCAACCATGGGAAACATTCAGTTGTCCTTGCCTCAAAATTCTAGATGTGTACATTGATTCAACAAGGAGTAACCCTTTCAGGAAGTTTCCCTTGACTTAGTTATTCTAGGGTTTCTGTACCTAAGAAGATTCAACATTTTCCTCAGGTCACCAAGCACAGGTCAAGAGATGGAGTATCTGAGGCAGCCCAGCTCTCAAGTAGCAAAGTTACTCCTTATCCTCAAGTCGCCATTTTCTGCTTTAACTGTTCAAGAGAGTTCCCTTAGAGCAGATGCTTCACAGTTCCTCGGGCTGTCTCTCTTGGTTCAGGTGTGGGCTGTTCAACCGGCTATGAAATCTAGCCATGGGCCTAGCAAGTCTACTCAAGCCCAGTGAAGCACTCTCCTTCGAAGAGCTGCATTCCGATTCAAAATGCAAAACCACTCTGGAGTCGGGCAACTGGCCGTGCAGGCCCCATGGCCCTGTCCAAGCAACGGGAGCTCCTCCTTGTGCCTGCTCAATGTTTACCTACATGGAACAGCAAGGTTTAAATCCAGGGTTTCTTACCAACCCATGTACAGTAAATCCCACTTTGACATAACCACCTATTTTAAAAAGATGAAAAGCATGCAAATATAATCCAAGATGATCACCACCTTGTTTGCTGAAAATCCCCAGAAATCTAACAGAGGAATTACAGTGGATAAACACCAAATTGCCAGCTTCCAAATCTTTTGTTAAATAGGACCAGCGAAACAAAAGCAACCAGCCTCAGCACAATCAGGACTGCTTGCTTTAAAGCAAGATTTTGAAAGAAATCAGAAAGGTATGCTGATCAGTATGTAGTGTGCGATCTTTACAAGGCGGACTTCTGTAATATTTCAGAAAAACTTTTCTTCTACTAGCCAGTCAGCCACCATCTTGGCTTCAAGATGCTGGGGGGGGGGTTGTTCATCACTAAATTGCAGAATTTTTCTAGTCCTCATGGAGGTCATGTAGAAAGGGGGACAACACAGTAATAAGAAGCAACTGTATTTCAGCATTCTAGCTGGAAAAATGTGTTTTTATTTTGAGTTTTCCGTATAAGAAATGTTTAGACAAGGTTTCTTTCAAAACAAGTTATGCAACAAGAACACTGCCAAG